TTGTCACTGCCTGAGTGGATTTTCTGCATTGTTCTCTCACCTCTTTCCATTCCTAGCTCCATGACACAGACTTTGTGTCCTACCTGCTGAGGAACAATAGTCATGATAATTTATGAAACCCAGGCCTTTAATACATAGCATTAAGAGCATGGTCCAGAGACATCTCAGTTTTGATGTTTACGAGGTAGAGAACTTTGGACAAATGATTTAATTTCTGTGCCTCAGTTTCTCCATCTACAAAATGGAAATAATAATAGCACCTATTTCCTAGGGCTATTGTAAAGAACGAATAATCAACACATTGTATATGAATGCCTGACATATACTAAGTGATCAGAAAGTGGAAGATAGTATAATTAATTTGCATACATTATCTCAATTATATTTTTCAACTTAGTGTAATAGTTAAGAACTTTGGTTTGCCTCTCAGTTTCACTATTTCTTAATTGTGAGAACTTGGGCAAGGGCCCATGTTCTATGCCTCAGTTACCATATTTATAATAAATTGTGTAAAAGTCCAATAAAGCCAGGCATGTTGGTGTACACCTGTAATCCTAGCAGCTCAGAATGCTGAGGCAGGAGGATCTCAAGTTCAAAGCTAGCCTCAGCAACTTAGCAAGACTCTGACTCAAAATTTTAAAAAAAGTTTTAAAAAGGGATGGGGGGCTGAGATTGTGGCTGGCCTAGCACAGGCGGGACCCGGGTTTGATCCTCAACAAATAAAAAATAAAGGCATTGTGTTGTGCCCATCTAAAAAAACGAAAAAAGGGATAGGGATGTAGCTCAGTAATTAAGCATTCCTGGGTTTAATCCCTGGCACCAAAAAATTTTTAAAAAAGTACAATAAGTGTTACCTATTATTATTATAATTTGACATCAGCCCCATGAGGCCACAGAGCTTAATGGTTACATAGAGAATACCATAGCTTGACCAACTGTGTGACTGTCTGGGGGTAGATAGATTACCTCTCTGTTTTCTCACTGAAAAAATCCTAATAAGAGGGCTTACTTTGGAATTATTGTACAAAACACCAAGAACAATGCATTAACTAGTGGCTATGGTCTGAATCTGAAATGTCCCCCCAAAGCTCATATGTTGAAGGCTTGGTCCCTAGGAATGTTCAGAGGAGCAGTCTTTGGAAGGTGGTTGGCGACAAGGGCTCTCATCTCACCCATAAGTTAACCCATTGATGGAGTCATAGCTTAACAGACCACTGGGTACTAGTGTGGAAACTTTAGGAGGCAGGGCCAAGTTAAAGGAATTAGGTCACTGAGGGTCTTTCCTTAATGGGCATATTTTGTCCCGGGCCCCTTCCCTCTCCCACTTTCTCTTTACTAACTGCCAAGAGGTGAGCAGCTTTGTTCCACCACATCTTCCCCACCGTGATGATCTGCCTTGCCACAGGCCTAAAAGCAGTGAAGCCAGCTGACCATGGACTGAAACATCTGAAATCATGAGCCAAATAAACCTTTCCTCCTTTAACTTGATTTATCTCAGGTATTTTATCACAGTGACAGAAAGGTGACTAACATACTAATACTACCTGCATTTTACAGATGAGAAGGCTAAAGATCAAAGAAAGATAAGGGGGGACTGGGGCCATAGAGTGCTTGCCTACCACATGTGAGGCACTGGGTTTGATCCTCAGCACTACAGAAAAATAAATGAATAAAATAAAAATATTGTGTCCATCTACAACTAAAAATATTTTTTAAAAATAAAGAAAGAGGGGCTGGGGTTGTGGCTCAGCCGTAGAGTACTCGCCTAGCACGTGTGAGGCGCTGGGTTCGATCCTCAGCACCACATAAAAATAAATAAATAAAATAAAGGTATTATGTCCAACTACAACTAAATATATATAAAGAAAGAAAGAAAGAAAGAAAGAGAGGGGCTGGGATTGTGGCTCAGAGGTAAAGCGCTCAGAGGTAAAGAGTCTGGTGTGCGTGAGGCACTGGGTTTGATCCTCAGCACCACATAAAAAAAAATAAAGATATCATGTCCACCTATAACTAAAAAATAATTAAAAAAAAATAAAAAATAAAGAAAGAGAGATAAGGGAATGGGCTTCCAAGCAAACCTAGGTTCGAATATTAGCCTTGCCATAAAAGAGTTGTGTGGGTTTTTTTTTGTTTGCTTTTTGCACTGTGGGTTAAACCCAAGGAAATTCTACCACTGAGCTACAACCCTTTTATTTTTTTACAACTTTTTATTTATACAACCTTTTTTATTTTTTAATTTGAGACAGAGTCTCATTAAGTTGCTGAGACTGGCCTTAAACTTGGGATCCTTCTGCCTCAGTCACCCTGGTTGCTGGGATTACAGGGGTGCCCCACTGCACCCGGCAGTCAGTTGTGTGATTTTGAGCAACTTATTTAACCTCTCAGAATCTTAATTTCCTTATCTTTAAAATGGCAACTAAATAGCCTTACACAGTAATATAGAATCATGTAAGTAAAATACTTAGCATGGTGCACATATCATGACCCTCACTTTTATCTGTAGGGAAATGGAAGTAGAGAGAGGCCAGGTGACTTGATCAAGGGAATAGCAGATTCAAACTTTCAGGCCAGGTCCACCTGCTTCAGATCTCTATCCTTCCAACAACACAAAAAGCTTCCTATCAGGAAATAAGAGGAATTCTTATGGGGACTATTCTGGCCCCCCAAATAATATTATCATTAATGTTTATGAAGTGTTCATGCTCTGCTCAATGGTGACCCTCCTGTCACTTGCCCACCCACAAGACTATAAAAATGTATTAAGCTAGGCACAGTGACTATATACCTATAATTCCAGCCACTCATGAGACTGAGGCAGGAGGATCACAGGTTCAAGGCCAGCCTCAACAAATTATCAATACTCTGTCTCCAAGAATAAAAAAAGCTGGCGATGTAGCTCAGTGGTAGAGTGCTTACTTAGAATGATCAAGGTCCTGGGTTCAGACTCCAGTACTTAAAAAAAAAAATGTTTTAAATTGTAAAGCATCATAAAAAATGAAAAAGATTACTATTATAATTAGTTAATTATTTTTATTTATGGTACTGGGGGTGAAGGTTAAACTCAGATCCTTGCGATGCTAAGCATATGCTTTATCACTAAGCCACATCCCTATTACAACTATTATAATTTTTTTAAAGAGAGAGAGAATTTATATATATATATATATATATATATATATATATATATATATATATATATTTAGTTTTTGGTGGACACAACATCTTTATTTTATTTGTATATGGTGCTGAGGATAGAGTACGCTACCGCTTGAGCCACATCCCCAGCCCTATTACAATTTTTTAATAATTTTTTTTAATTGTAGATGGACATATAACTTTATTTATTTTTACGTGGTGCTAAGGATTGAACCCAATACCTCATATGTGCTAGGCAAGCACTTTACCACTGAGCTACAACCCCCCCACCCGCAATTATAATTTTATTGTGATTAAATCTTATTATCTTATCCCAGATTTTTTCTTAAAACAGAGCATCCTTGGAAAAGCAATATTTTTCTGGCTCACTTTCTTACACACACACACACATACACACACACACATATATATAATATATACATACATATATACACACACATGGGAGGATAGATATAGATAGACAGATAGATAATTTGTTTTGTTTGGGTTTTGGTTGTGCTGGGGATTGAACTCAGGGCTTTGCACATGCTATACGCTTTAACATTAAAGTACATCCCCAACCCTATTTTCTTAATTGCCAGGCAGTACCCCCAGGAAGAAAAGAGAATAGCTTCCCCCAACCCTCTGTCTCTTTCTCCAGTATTATCTTGTTTTAATGTCATCCCAGAAGGAAAAACTACACACAAGAAGCTTTATCTGAATTGACCTTAGTACGGCCCTTGGAGAATATTTTGTTGAACCAATGGAAGAATGAGTGAAGTTCTACAGCAGATATGCAAAGAAGTTCCAGGTCACAGAAGCATCATCTTGAGCACCAGGACTTCAATCAAAATGGAATAGGTGGAATTTTTCCTCAGAAGGCCTAGGCCAGTCAATATTGGCTGCTTTAAATTACCGAGATAAGTGGAGGAGGGATAAATGTGTGTGAGCAACTGAAGACCAACCTTCTACTTTGGGAACAAGGTATCGGGAGGAGCAGATGAGGATAAAATCTCTGCAAAGAGCCGGTTGTCTGGCCCAGGAAAGCTTCTTGACCCCTTTTTATTTCCCCCTTTCCAGCTTATTCTGTGAATGTTTTAGGTTTACAATCACAGTCCAGAGTGTAATCTCAATGCTCAAAGTGACGGTTAGAAAGCACGTAGAGCTCCCTTGGCCTTGCCAGATGCGAATGCCTAGGGAGCACATATTGGGCCCATTATTATGACTATTATTAATAATAATATTGTGATTAAATATTTATGAAGTGCTCATGCTGTGCTCGATGGTGACCCTCCTACCACATTCCCACCTTCCAGCAACACCCAGGTCTCTAGCCCCGAGTCCCACCAGTCCTCTCGTAGGTTCGTGCGGGTGAATTGTGACAGGTCGCCCTGGCCGCCTCAGCTGGCCCTAGTAACCAGGAACCCAGGCACCCGGGTTCTCCTGTGGGGCGGAATCCGTCCCGGGTCGCCACGGGGGTCTGTGTATACATCCTCCTCGGCAGTTCATTCCCGACCAGGGCTTCGGGGACAGAAACCCGGAGCAGCCAGGGCCAGGTTTCCCACCGGGTCCACCTGGCGGCCGCCCCTCCCCGCTGGGTCCGAGTCTGCCCGCCGGCGGCCGAGGGCGCGGCCCGGGGTCTGCGGCCCCAGGTAGGCAGCCGCGCGCCGTCCCACTCCTGGAGCTCCCCGCAGCCCTGGCCCGCCATCCCGCCGCCCCGGCCCCGCGGCTTTTTCTCTCTTTATCATAAATATATAAATTATGCTAATTACGGGCATTGCATATTAACCAAACCCGAAACCTCCCCTGCCCGGCCCCCTCCCCCTCCGTGCAAACCCCTCCCCGCCCCGGACCCCGGCACTTACCGGAGCCCGAGCCGCCTTCGCCCCGGGTGCCCGGCGGCCACCGATTAGAGATTCATCTCACAGCCCGGGCCAGGGGACCCGGGCCGGGGCCGGGGCGGCCGCCGCCCGCAGACAAAGAAGCCAGTGCGGCTTGGCTGGGCTCAGCTCGGCCCGGGAGCCGGTCGGGACCCGCCGCCGCCCCCGGGCCCCCACGCCGGGGCTGGGCAGAGCCGAAGGGGGCTCTGTGGGCTGCGCTGGGAGGAGGGGGACGGCCGGGAAGCGGGAAGGGGAAGAGGGGGGGCGGTCAGGTATATATTTTTCTTCTTTCCCCCTTTGTAACGGCCCCCCCTTTTTTCCCTCCCCCCTTTTTTCCCTCCTTCTGCTACTTGGATTTTTTTAGCTGCTGCGTCATGAGCATAATTTATGCAAAGAGCTTTGCCGCATGCTGCACCGCCCGCGCCAACCGCCGGGGGCGGCGGTCAGAGAAAGGAGGGGATCTGGGGACCCGGGATCAAGGCACCGTGGTGGGGAGCGGATCCTCCGCCCCAACCAGGTCAGGAGATCCCAGAGGTTCTCTCCTGGGACAAGAATAGGGGGTCGGTAGGACTAGTTAGTCAGCCGCCTCCGAGTGCAGCTTGAGGTCGTTTCATTTTGGAACGTGACAGTAGGAGCAGGGAAGTTCTGACTGGGGACCCTATGCCACCTTCCCTTCAAATGAGGGTTGGGGTGGTGAAGGCGGTGACTTTCAGCCGCTTCCTTTCCTTTCTAAGGTAGTCAGCCACCCTTAACGGGGAAAGTCAAGTTTATGTCTATTCCCCAACCCCAGAAGAGAGAGGGAACTCAAACAGCCAAGCCATGGTGGAACCACCAAAGCAGCTGTGCCCCCAGCTCCAAATCAGGGCGGGGACCCAGGTCCCTCCACCCTCCTACCTTTACCCCAGGAGCGGTAGTAAGCTGTGTTGTCTAATGATAACTTCCGGGCCTTCTTGTTCAAGTAGACAAGGAAATGTGAAAAGAAAGACAAAAGTTTAGTGGAATAGAAAAAAAAAAAAAAACTTCTGCTCTGGTGGCTGTGGGAGTGAGAAGGGTTTGATTTACTTATTGGCTTTTGAAAGTAGGTTTGGGCTAAGAACTGACAGATTTAGGGGTCAAGGGAAAGCAGGTTGGAGTAATACTGGGCAAATGGAAGAGGAAAACCAAGGAAAAGAAAAAGAATGAGAGAAGCTTTGGGGCAGAGGGAGGTTCTGTAGATTCAGTGAATGTGGATTTCATAGAGGCAGCCAGCTGTCAGTCTACTCTGCTGGCCTCTTACCTTCTTGCTCCAGCTCCAGCTCCAGCTCCACATTTGGTAGTGTCTGATGAGCTTGAGGTAGATGAATTATAGGTAAAGTGACAGGAAGTGGAGACTGCTTCCCTCTTGAGATTGTTCCTTAAGTCCCCACTACCAAGTGGCGGCAGACCAGGGTGCACACTTTTTCAAGAGGTTACTTGGAACTTGCTCACACCTGGAGGCGTTGCTCACAGAATCTTGCCTTTTGGGACCTGGCATTATCATTTGCCTGGCCAGCAGAGCTCCCATTGTATCAGCTTGCCCATGGGTTAGCAGTCAGAATACTTGGGTCTTAATCCCAGCTCTTTCGCCAACAGTCTGGGCAAGTAATTTAACTTCATTTCTTATAAAAGGAAGATAGAGCCCTGAGACCTCACTTTAGTGCCAGCTACTAGGAAGTCTGAGGCAGGAGGATTGCTTGAGTCTTAGGAATTCCAGGACAGCTTGGGCCACACAGCAAGATCCTGTCTCAAAAAAGAAAAAAATAATTATAATAACTACTTAATAGGGTTAAGTTTATTGTGAGCTTGTATGTAAAAAGAAAAAAAAACTTTGAAAACTGTAACATCTATACAATTATAAAGCATCATTATCTGTACAATAGTTTGAACCCATTTTATTGGTCCTCTAAAACACTACATGGCATGGTATGACAGCTCTTGGGCTTGATTGGTCTACAGTCTAGTCTGTCCCTTTGGACTGTAAATTCTTTGAGCACACCAGTTGTGACTTACTCATCTGTATTTCCTACTGCTCTTTATGTGAACAAGGGACACAGTATTGCTATTGAACTTTGTCACATGAAGACAGAAACTCTTAAGTCTATGTGACTTGGTTGGTGTTGCACCTAAATAGATCAAAGACTCTGCATGACATGGATATCCGGGATAGTTTAAAAGAACATATATGATCAGAGAAGCTCAGGGAGACACAGAGTTAATGGGAATCAAAGTTTTCTATGGGAAAAGGAAAACTTTAACTTACATTGTATACACTTCTTCATTGCTTAAATAGCTCAAGAACCTATGTTACTTTTGTTTCATTTTTCATTGGGATATAATATACTTATCTTTGTTTGACTTTTTGTGAGTATGTGTGGTGGTGTTGGGGATTGAACCCAGGGCCTCACACATTTTATGCAAGTGCTCTACCACTGAGCTCCAACCCAGCTCATCATTTGACTTATCTTAAACATACACACATACACACACACACACACACACACACACGTATAGATATGTATTTTGGGGGCTTGGGATGGAAGCCAGGATCTTGCACATACTACAAAAGCACTTTACCACTAAGCTATACCCCTGCCCCCTCAACTTTTTAAAAATTTTTAATTCACACATAGTAACTGTACATATTTATTTATTTATTCTTCGTAGTTGTAGATGGACAGAATACCTTTACTTTATTTATTTTTGTATGCAGTGCTAAGGATCAAACCCAGTGCCTCACACATGTTAGGCAAGCACTCTGCCATTGAGCCACAGCCACAGCCCCTAATTGTACATATTTATGCATTGTGACATTTCAACATACGTATATAGAATGTGTGATGATCAATCAGGTAATTGAACCCAGGTATGCTTTACCACTAAGCTACATCCCCAGCCCTTTTTATTTTTTATTTTTGGGCAGGGTCTTATTAAATTATACAGGATGTATTTAAACCTGTAACCCTCCTGCTTCAGCCTCTGGCGGTGCTGGATTATAGGTGTGCTACCATGCCCAGCTCTTTTTTTCCTCCCTTAAGGTCTGGGAGCAAATCTAGGGCCTCATGCACACCAGGCAACTGCTCTGCCACAGAGCTACATTCCAGCACCAGCACTAAAGTACAAAAATCTTTTTTTTTTTTTTGGTTGTAGATGGATACAATCACTTTATTTATTTTTATTTGGTGCTGAGGATCAAACCTAGTGCCTTACATGTGCTAGGTGAGCACTCTATTACTGAGCCACAACCCCAGCCCAAGTGCACACCTTGACAAATTTTTACATATAGATCTATGCAATCACCACTCAAAACAAGACAGAGGGGCTGGAGTTGTAGCTCAGTGGTAGAGCACTTGCCTAGCATGAGTGAAGCACTGGGTTTGATCCTCAGCACCACACAAAAATAAATAAAATGAAGGTACTCTGTCCATCTACAACTTAAAAAAATACATAAATAAGACAGAGACACTTTCCAATACCTAAGAAAATCCCCTGGTGTTACTCTAGAGAAATTTCCAAAGTAACATTAATTCTGATTTCTATAACATAAATTAGTTTTGCTGGTTCTTGAACTTCATCATATAATTTTTTAATTTGTTCTTTTTAGATATATATGAAAGTAGAATGTATTTTGACATTTCATACATACATGGAGTATAAATTTCCATTCTTGTTGTACATGATGTGGAGTTATACGGGTTGTGTATTCATATATGAACATAGGAAAGTTATGTCCAATTCATTCTACTGTCTACATCATATAAATTGAATAAAAAATATGTACTCTTTTGTGTCTGGCTCCTGATGTTTTTGAGATTCGTTCATGTCATCAAGTGTAGTGATTTTATTTATTTATTTTTATTGTTGTGTTGTATTTCATTGCATAATTATACCAGAGTTTATCCATTCTGCTATTTTTTGAGTGTTTTTGTTTGGCTGGTTCTGATTTTGGATTCTTATGTATAAAGTTGCCATGAATTAGACAAGTCTTTTGGTGAACATGTGCACTTATTTCTTTGGGGTAAATACTGAAAAGTGGAATTTCTAAGTTTAGGGTACATGTTCAGCATTTGTAGATAATGCTAAATGGTTTTCTAAAGCGTCTGAACCAATTTGTATCCTTACCAGTAATATACAAGAATTCTAGTCCAGTAACATATGAGTCCTAGTTGTTCGACATCCTTATCAATACTTGGGAGCAATACTTAGTAATGGCAATCTTCTTGCAATGAATATATATTATTTTTATATTTAAAAACCCAACAATTGGGCTGGAGGTGTAGTTCACTGGTGGAGTGCTTGCCCACCATATGCTAGGCCCTGAGTTCACTCCCTAGCACTATAATAAAATACAAAAGTAAATAAGCAAACAAGCCAGGCATACTGGCACACACCTGTAATCCCAGCAATTCAGTAGACTGAGGCAGGAAGATTGCAAGTTTGAGAGGCCAGTTCCGGCAATTTAGTAAGACTCTGTCTATAAATAAATGTATAGATAAATAGTTAGGGTAGGGATGTAGCTCAGTGGTATAGTGCTTGCTTATCACTTGTGAGGCCTTGAGTTCAATTCCCAGCACTGTAAAAACAAAACAAACAAAAAGACCAGTGTAAGTATTTCCATGGATAGGTGAGGAGATGTGCTAGTAGCTTCCTTTTACTTCTCATCCTAAATAAAACTCTTTAACAAGATCCTCCACCCAGCCTATTTTTTTTTCCTTCACTCTGATTTCCCATGCTTTCTGAGATTTCATTAATTCAACAAATACTTATTATCTACTATATGTCAGACACTGGGTTGAGTGCCTTTTAGCAAAAGACAAAACAGACGTGTTCCTTAGAATTACAGTAGACTTGGGCTGGGATTGTGGCTCAGTGGTAAAGCCCTTTCCTAGCAAGTGTGAGTAACTGGGTTCAATCCCCAGCACCACATTAAAAAAAAAAAAAAAAAACTAAATAAACAAAATAAAGGTATTGTTGTTCATCTACAACTAAAAATATTTGTTGATTTAAAAACAGACATTAAATAAAAAATATGAATATACCACTATGCACAGGGACTAAGACCATAAGAAGATGATATGAGAGAGCAGGGAAGACTTCTCTGAAGAAGTCATATATAAGGGAAGGCCTGAAAGATGGGATAAGGAGGGAGAAGGAATAGCACAGGCAGCAGTGATGAGGGAGGAAAGAGCTCAGGAAATAGTTTGGGAAACTGAAAGCGGTTTAGTGTGGCAATGTCTTAGTCTGTTTGCCTGCTATTTAAAAATTATAGACTGGCTGTCTTATAACCAAAGAAATTTATTTATCCCCATTCCAGAGACTGGGGGGGCCTTGAGATCAAGGTGTTGGCTAATTTGATATCTTGTGAGGACCCACTTCCAACTTCATAGGTAGCCATCCTCATGTGGTAGAAGGGAGGCTGGGAAGCTCTCTGGGTCACTCCCACTTTTTTTTTTTTTTTGCTACCAGGGATTGAATTCAGGGGCACTTAACTACTGAGTCACATCCCAAGATCTTTTTTATATTTAATTTAGATACAAGGTCTCTAAGATACTTAGGGCCTTGATAAATTGCTGAGGCTGGCTTTGAATTTGAGATCCTCCTGCCTCAGCCTCTCGAGCTGCTGGGATTACAGGCATGTGCCACCGCACCCAGCTCTGGTTCCCTTTTATAAGGGCATTAATCTCACGCCCTCATGACCTAATCACCTCCCAGAGGCCCCATCTCCAAATTGGAGTTTAGGATTTCAACATATAAATTTGGAAAAATACAAACATTTAGTCTATAGCAAGCAGGAACACGGCAGTAATAGAAAGAATCACACAAAACCATTCTTTCATTTTGGGTAGAGAGAGCCCAAGTCAGGCAGATTTGGCCATATTTTCCTCTATTCTCTCAAATTAATCGGGTCTCTTTTTGCTTTACAAACTCCACTGAAGATTTTACCTCCTACAAGAAGCCTTCTTGAATAATAACACATTGGTCCAATTAATGTTATTACTTTAATTACATTATTGTTCTAATAACTTCATCATAAAATTTGTAATTTTTAGGCCATTTACTGTTTCTCGAGAGTGTATTTACATGGTTTACCTAACACATGAATGACCTTGTGTTTCCTTATGAAGGGCCTTATGTTTCCTCTTTCTTCTGAAGTCCTCCAAGCACCCAACAGGAGAGATGCTTTGTTAACATTGTCTTCCTTGGCACTATATTCAGAAAGCTCCTGGAATTTAAGTAGAAAAGCCCTGGGTTCCCATCTAACCTGACTTGTGAAAAGACCATTTCAGGTCTTCTAAAACTTGTCATAAATCAACCAAGTTCTTTTTTTGTGTGTGTGTGTGTGGCAGGTGCTGGAAATTGAACCCAGGGCTTCATGCATGCTAGGCAAGCACTTTACTACTGAGCCTTATCCCCAGCCCAAAGCAACCAAGTTCTCCCAGGATCCATGTGTATTTTCCCACATGCTTGCCTCCCCTCCACAGGCCAAGTTTGCCCCTCCCCCTCTCTAACCACCAGATTAGAGGTCCCTACTGCCTAGGGAATAAGACTAGGGCAGGTGGGACTGAATGGAAGGTAGGTCTGTAGGAAAACAAACAAAAACCCTCTCATTTTTGAGGAGAGGAAAAGCAGCAGTGCCTTTCCAAGGGCTTCTAGGTCAGTTTGCATAAAAGAAGGAGGCAGTTATCAGTCAGGGCTTGCCTTATTGAAGTCCTGTCAGGATAAGGGGCTATGGAGGAGAAGGTCCCTGAAAGCTGTTAACAATGCAAGAATATCTTAAGATGAGAAGCCAGAGTTTGAGGAAAATTCTGTATGACAAGGAATATGGCTTATGCATGCTCTGGTTTTTGTAGACTTCCACCTCCTGTCCTGAAATGCATACAGCATTTTATTCTATTTAATTTTAGCAATGATGTAAAACTGTATTGCTGGGCTGCTGTCACTGTCTCTGACAGATTGCCCTACCAGCTGAAAGGGTAAATATGGTTTTCTGTTTTTTTTTTTTTTTAACTTTCTGTACTGTAAAAAGGTGAGGAACATTTTAGCTCATAAATTATTTACCAAACCTCACAGGCATAATAGGCTGTGTGCATATTCATCAGGCTATCATCCATTATTCATGAAAAGTTCACTTCAACTGTTAGAAGAAAATGAGGTTGTTGATTGAAATGCTGAAGAAATGTGGGCTTTTGTCCTCCTCCCTCCTTTCTCCCCTCTAAGTCTGGAAGTTTCCATCAAAAATGATATTATAGGGGAAAAATTATTCCTGACATATAGAAGTGTTGATATAGGAAAAGAAAGCTTAGAGTAGGAAATAAATTGGCAGAATCAACCACCATTCATTTAACATGGTCAGATAAAGACCCCTGACTCTTGCTTTCCCAGGCACTGTGCCCAGAAAATAGCCAAACTGGTTCTGTTTCTTGAAACAAAAGGGCAGCTTCAGCAAATCTGACAGAGTTATTGTCTATATAAACTAGATACTGGTTGCATTCTATAGCTTAAGAAATATTATTCTTCTTTTTTAATATTTTTTTTTAGTTTTAGGTGGATACAATATCTTTATTTTACATTTATGTGGTGCTGATGATTGAACCCAGTGCCTCATGCATGCTAGGCGAGCACTCTACCACTGAGCCAAAACTCCAGCCCCTTTATTATTATCTTCTTACTTTACCCTCACACCAGGTCTTGAAGGTAGAAATAATTTTCAAAATGAAAAAAATACTTAAAAAACTGAGAAAAAGAGAAAATGGAAACTCACAAGTTAAGTGACATGTCCAAGGCCACATACATAAAGAGCAAAAGTATGAGTGAACTTGAATCTAAATTTCCTTCCATATCCCATATTCGTTATACTTCCGAAGTACTTTGAATATTAAAGCCACTGTTTCCAAAATGTAGATATTTCACATTTTTCATTGACTTTATTATTTTTCTTTCCTTCCACTGCCCCCAGTACTGGGGATTGAAATAGGGGCACTGTGTATTTGGGGTAAAAATGGGAGTTCATAACCCACTTGAATCAAATGTATGAAAGATGATATGTCATGAGCTTTGTAATGTTTTGACCAACCAATAAAAAAAAAAAGAAAGAAATAGGGGTGCTGTACCATTGAGCTACATCTACATCTCCAGTCCTTATTATTTCAAGACAGGTTCTCACAAGGTTGCTGAGATTAGCATTGAACTTGTGCCTCAGCCTCCTGAGAAGCTGAAATTAAATGAGGGTTCCATTGCACCTAGCCAGCAATTACATTCTTTAAGCCATAGTTTTCCTGTTTGAAAAAAAGGAGATACTATATATTTTTTAAATTATTTCTTTTAACTTATATATGACAGCGGAATGCATTACAATTCTTATTTGGAGATATTATCTTAAACAGGATAATGTATATAAGATCCAGGGGTCTAAATTTTCCTCCATCTTGAGTCACCTCTTTTTATTGACCCTCTCTCCCATTCCGCCCTGGACCACTCACTTGGTATCAGGTCTCAGCCTGGAATTCCTGGTTTGGTTCCTTTTGGATGAAATGCAACTACAGTCATAGTGGGACACAGGTGTGAATTCTCCCCAGCATGACTATACAAGGTTGTTTTTTTTAGTTTTTGTTTTTTCAGTGCTGGGGATTGAACACAAGACCTTGCACATATTAGACATGCTCAACTACTGAGCTGCATATCCAGCCCCACAAAGTTGTTAAAGTTGTTCTTTACTGCAGAGGTAAGGGAAAACTGAAGTGAATTACAATAATGGAAAGTATTTAAACTTTGGTTTTGAGTTTTAATTTTCCCAACATTTCAAGAATTCAAATTTTCTTTTTTTTGTACAGAGATTGAACCCAGGGGTGCTTAACCATGGAGCCACATCCCTACCACCCCACCTTTAAATACTTTTATTTTGAGACAAGGTCTTATTAGGTTACTTACAATCTTGCTAAGTTGCTGATGCTAGCTTTGAACCTGCTATCCTTATGCCTCAGCCTCCTGAGTTGCTGGGCTTATAGATGTGTGCAACTGCACCTGGCAAGAAGTTGAGTCTTAATTAGGGGGTGTAAGGACCCTACATGAATGGATCCCAGACCATAACTTGGCTTCCTGTCCTCAGGTCTACTTCTGTCCCCTGGAAATTCTCCTTCAAACCTCCATTCATTTCTAGGAAGCCCCAGATGCTTCCTCCCTCTGGTCCCTCAGCTATCCCCAGAAGGACATTTCTCCAAATCTGACAGTTTAGCTTAGATTCTGGATAACACCTCAGAGGGTGGGAAGTGTGTGTGTGTGTGTGTGTGTGTGTGTGTGTGTGTGAAGGAAGAGGTTCCATAGTGGCCTTGTAGGAATAAGCTTTGGGCATAGTCTATCCAGCAGAATTGTCTATGGAAGACTGGTATCCCTTTGAGTATCCTGGCCATATTGAGACACAGATGAGGCTCTGCTCTTCTGAGTGCCCTGGGTAACTTTTGGAACACACACACACACCTCTCAAAGAAAAAAATGAATTCTAAACCCCCAAACCAGAACATTTTGGTATGCATTCATATCAGACCATTGCATTTTTAATAAGCCAAATAATACAAATGAGTTGGGATTTCACAGGGAGAAAAACCACAACCAAAAAAGAAGAGACCCCTGAGACTTCCTAGGCTGCCCCAGCCATGGTGGAGTTGGTGTTTTACATTCATTATGCAGAGCAGTATCTGCACCTTTCCTATAAGTGGCTTGCCA